TCTGCATCCCTGGCCAATGTGGCTCAATTGGTTGAGCATCACCCCATATACTAAGAGGTCCCCAGTTTGATTGCCAGTCAGGGCACATGCTAAGGTTGCGGGCTTGATCCCTGGTAGGAGGCAGCCAATCGATGTTTCTTTCTCTCTTACCCGCTCTAAAATCAATAAAAATATATTTTTTAAAAGGTATCTGCATGTGTGAGGCATTTTTCTCAGGTCCACAGCTTGCTTGTTGCCCATGCAAGTTCATGGATTTGTAGACTCCCCAGGGTCTTGGCCCACAGAGTCAAGGTTGGCTCCTTAGCTTGAAACCCCTAGCCCTACCCAAAGCCCTTCGTGATCTGGCTGTGTTGGCTTCTGTGGCCCTTTTCTGCCACCCTTTCCTCCTCACATACCGCTCTCACCACCCCTGTGTACACACAGACCTCTAAGTCTAATTCTTTCACTTTGCGGTTCCCAGCAAACCACCGTAAGTCAGCCGCATGCCTTTGCTGAGCCCTTGTTAGAGGCTGCTGAGCAGTCACTGCCTCTGAGGACCCTTCCAGCATTCCTCGTCTTGCAGCCCCAGAGCACCCTGCTGGCTAGAACTTGGCTCCTGGGTTACAGCTTGCCTTGGTGGAACTTCCCCAAGGGCAGAAGCTGTCTCTTTAGCCTCACTGTGACATGTGACACATGATAGGTGCTCGGCATATGTTGGGAATAAGGCTGTTACCTCTCTCATCCAGCAGACATTCAGTGAACGTGGTTTAGTAGGGAGAGCTGCTTCTTGATTGGATGACGACTTAGGTGCGTAAGATGTGTAGTGTTCCCTGAACTTCAGATACAGTAGCCCCCCCCCCCCTTATCTGCAGGGCATAAGCCCAGTGGATGACTAAGACCGTGGATAATGCCAAACCCTATACATGTTAAGTAAAGTAAGGATGACTTTAAACACACCACTGCAATATCATGACACTCGACCCCATAACTGGAATGGCTATCAAATGACTAGTGGGCAGGTAGCGTATACAGTGATGAGAGGCTGGACAAAGGGATGATTCATATCCCTGGCAGGATGGTGTGAGCTTTAAAACTTGAAAAACTGCAGCTAGCCCCTGGACTGTGAACCAGGGGGTTGTGGTTTGATTTCCCATCAGAGCACATGCCCAGGTTGCAGGCTTGATCCCCAGTAGGGGATGTGCAGGAGGCAGCCAGTCGATGATTGATGATTTGCTCTCATCATTGATGTTTCTATCTCTCCCTCTCCCTCAGAAATCAATAAAAATATTTCAAAAACAACAAGGCTAAGTGGGGACCTACTGTATTTGATGTTAATCAAGTGAGCACTCAGCACAGCCCATTGTAGATCGTGTGGGATGAAGATAACTATGCTGATGCTAGAATCTGCATTGAACATTGACCGTGACTGGGCTCTCTGCTGTGTGTTTTTTCTAAGGAGTGTGGG